AGATCTATGTTGTCCATGACTAGTCTACATAAGTCTATTTTTCCTCATCTTAATTTTATAATCTATCTATAAAATATATACTGACTATATTAATTTTTAATAATATAGTTAACATACTTATGTAATTAGTATACTAGTTTCTCAGTACCTAGTTAGAATCGAATTAGAGAAAAGTTGCTTGTCTAGTCTAGCTTTCTATAAACCAAGTCATGAGTTGGTATATCAATTTAGTCATACTCCAAACGTCGGTATATCACTATCATTTGTATTTGGAATTAGGTACTCTTATTATACGTCGATTATGTACATTGATATTTATAATTATTACACTAGTTATTTGGATTATAAATGTCGATTTTTTTATTGCTCTCATATCAAGAGGATGATCTATTCTGATTATGTTTTTCTTTTGAGAGATGATTTCGAAAGGAACATTTTATGGATGAGAAAGGCAGTATGGATGACATGGACGTAAAAGGAGAACATCTTAATAGGGACTCTTGAGTTAATTTTGGGTGCCAAAGTACTTCATACCATAAATTATTTATATTCTTCAAATCAAGCAATCCACTTATTCACGTAGGCAACAATTAGAGCAAAGAGATTTCTAGTTTAACTAGGGGAAGGCCTCACTTGAAAGATCTAGTTGTCTTAGAACAGGTCAATCTTAAACTTCGTTGAGATAGTTATTTGATATGAATTTTTTTTTGACAAGGCTTTAAATTGTGCTTCACTTGGCCATCGGGTTTCTTTTTATTCTTCACTTGACCATCGGGTTTTTTTTTATTTATGTTTATCGGGAGGCAAATGATGTTGCTGAACGCTTATCGAATCTCTACGTTTCTCTTTCCTCCCTTTTTATTTCTGATCTCTGAACTCCAGCATTGTAATTTCATGCTCTTGCAGCAATTTCTCAATAAAAGCCCCATGTTTATCGGGAGGCAAATGATGTTGCTGACCGCATATCTAAGCTCGGTGTTTCTCTTTCCTCCTTTTTTATTTTTGATCCCCTAACTCTAGCATTGTAATTTCATGCTCTTACAGCAATTTCTCAATAAAAACCCTTGAACATGGTCAAAAAATACATTTGATATTAGGAGGCGTGTTTTCTATTTTTTAATTTCATAATGGAATTTATCAGGGTTTAATTGTTGGGAACGTTTTATGAATTGGCAACGCTTTCGAGTACATTGAAGATGTTCCCAACAATATATCTCATAAAAACAAATGAAGTCTAGGTGCATCATGTAGATGTTCCCTTCTCTACACCCTTTGACAATTCCAATGGTTAACGGGTTTTGAATTTGAGAGAAATCCACGTGTACTAAAGAAGAGGTGAATGCTGAAAAGGAGTAAATTCGTGTTGTAAATAAGAAATTGACCCAAACAAAAGAAAGCACGACATAGGAGGAATATTGAAGTGGGAGAGATGATCTCAATTTATCAATTAATTTAATCAATAAATTTTTATCTAAAACATTTGTAAGTAATGCTAGGGGTGACTTATGAACAAAAAAGTTATGTTTAATAAACATTTTTCAACTGCTAATTGATGAATTATATGATAAATGGTTGAAAAAGGCTAATTTCCATATTCTAGACTCTAAGGTTTAGCTAAACAAAAGAAAGAGAAATTACCAAAAATTCTATAAATGTCAAAAAACAAGGTTCCTATCATTCAATCTCATATATGTCAAGGCTCTTCTTTTTTTTTCAGGGCTCCCATTTACGTAGGAAACTATATAAGGAACTATTAAAAGACCTCCCACAACTTTATCACTCCGGACCTAAGGTTTCAGTAATACCAAGATTCAAATACTTAACAAACTAGCATAGCAAACTGCCTTGTATACAAAAATACTATTCACTTTAAGTATAAAGCTTTACAATCATCTTTAGCTATTGGATGTGAAACTCGACGTCTTGAGGTGTGTCAAACATTTTGAAAAAATTTATTTTGGACTTTCCACCCAATCAATGATATACTCCAGCCATCTAGCTTCACATCTATCAGTTAATATGATTATAACCTCATACCAAAAATTAAGTAGTCATAATCCATGTTTTTCCAACAAAAAATAGCTCTTTTGGACTTTCGCCCTAACCCTATGCGCGACAGTCACTATATGAATGGGCCATTGCAATATAATGGGCTCTGGTGTTGTTCATTCACAAACACCCATTCATTTGGTCCCACTCGTAAAGTCTCACTTTCCACAAGCAGACATAAATCATGGTTAAGAAAATAAGAGATTATAATTGTAAAAGAAAAGGATATATTGTCTAGCTAATATGTAAGGTGCATATTGTAATCAGCATATATGAGAAGAGTATGTACAATATCTTGTATTTTATAGTAAGTCTGGGTATAATATAGGAATATGTGATTTATTTATATTATTGTCATTTGTATTTGTCTATTTAAGACAAGTTTGTATATTCTTATTGATTAATGAACATTGAGTTCCTTCAGAGAAACCTGAGATTCTTCATAATAATCACAAGTTATGGCTGCATCAATTTCTGCTTCTTCCCTTGCCAAAGCATCAGTGTACCTTGTTGCCTTCTCTACTAAACATTAGAACTAGTTTGTGACTGAACATTAGAACTAGTTTGTGAATAACTGGATACTTGTTTCCTTTATTCTGATTTTCACTTGTATACTTTCTCAACCCACGTATTCCGCCCTGCATTTCTGAGGACAATTGCTTGCAACAATAATGGTAACGAACGCGCATCTGTTTTCTTGCAAGAAGCAATGGCTAGTCTAGCACGAAAGTCATTGCGCCAATGCGCATTCGTTTTCTTATTTGCATTTGTTCATTTGCTTTTTTACCCTAGAATGTTCTTGCACGCTTCTCAAACTTGTGCTTTTATGTGTTGTGCTTCGCACCACCCAAGAGAATTCACTGGGCATATTCTGAAGGAGAGAAACTAAGGCATGGAAAGTCCCGATTATCTCTCTTAGGGGCCGTTTGGATACCTGGAAATATATTGTCTATGAAATATATTACTGGCGTAATACATTATTGCGTAATACACTACCTGCAAATGGATTGTCACTGTTTGGATAGTATTTTGATACAACCTGGGAAAATTACATTGCTACTGTTTGGCTATATCTGAAAGAAATATGGGAAATACATTACAACATAGTTGTTATACAAAACCCAAATTGCATTCAATAATCAACAATTGATCAATCTCCATACATTCAATAATTACAATAAACACCCAAAAAAAAATCAACATGAGTCACTAAAATTATTTTCATTGTATGCATTGAACAAATAATAACAAAAAATCTGAGTATCTTACACTTTCATCAATCTCCATACAGATCAGATAAAAGAAAACGAAGAAAAGGCATCATGTTACATAGCTCATAAGATTAAATAATCAACAAAAATCAAGAGAAAAGCATCAACATAGATAATAAATTGCATTCAACATCCCAAAAATTCGAAGAAAAAATCTCTGAAAAAACAGAAAAAGGATACCATATAGATCGATTCGTAAAAAAAAAAACAAAATAAAACAAACAGATAGATTCCTAAAAATCAAAATGTCAAAGAAAATCTCACGAAATGGATACCAACATCTTGATTCATTAAAAAGAAGCAATTTCATCACAAATCCATTCACAATTTCTTTATATGTTCATAATTGCAAGCAATATCTGAAACCCTGATAGAGGACATAGAGTGTCCAGAATGCCTGTAGAATGATACCCAAAAGAAGGCTGGGTAGAGAAGTATGAAGATTAACGAGAACATACCTGAGCTTCAAGGGCTTGAAAGGGGTAGAGAGTGAGTGCGGGATTGGATGGGAAGAACTTGGGTTTGCAAAAGAATAGAGAAGAGGCACCTTAGGTAGAGTAGAAAGAGAGAGAGGGGAATGGGTTTTGTGAGTGAACTTGGGGTTGCAGAGGAAGAGAGAGAAGAGACGTCTTGGGTAAAGTTGAAAGAGAGCGAAGGGAAAGAGTTTCATGAGTTTTGAAAGAGAGAGAGACGTGTGAAACATTTCCCACAAATTAGACGTGTGCGTTGCAAAGGACGAAAAAATATGCGGCTTGAGTAAAGTAGAAAGAGAGAGGGGAATGGATTTTGTGAGTGAACTTGAGGTTGCTGCGGAAGAAAGAGAAGAGGTAGCTTGAGTAGAGTAGAAAGAGAGGGGAATGAATTTCATAAGTTTTGAGAAAGAGACACGAAACATTTCCCACAAATTAGATACGCACGAAATATTTCACAGATTACCTGTCAAGCGGGTAATAGATTTGTAATATCACGTAATGTATTTTCATTTTTTTACCATTCAAATGTACCCAAACAATGGAAATGTCATATTTTTTTGTAATATATTTTCATGTAACAGATTTTCTAATATCCAAACGATCCCTTAGAGAAAACAAATTGGAGAAAATGATTACAGACTTTTGAGTGGTAAAGAAACTATTCGAAGAAAGCAGACCATTGCAAGAGGGATATATGCAAGAATTCATATTTTATTGTGTTTAGAATCCCAACTTCGTAGAAATCGAAATGGAAACCTCTTTTTAATGGCATATTTTAGCGGATTTGAGTTCAATTTTTTTTTTCCAAAGCCTGAATTGGCCACAATTGGTCCGCAATTGTGCTTCCAACTTGATGAACTTGCTGGACTTCAGATAACTTTGGATTTCGAAGTTAATTGCATTATCTTTACCGAGTTTGGATTTTTGGCCTATAGGCTGCTGATTAAGAAAAAACAAGAATTTTGAGGTAATTTGGCAATAAAAGGGAAACGAATGATATCTCATTGAAATTTTGCAATGGCAAGAAAAAGAAGATTTAATACATATTCCAACTTCTTTTGCATCCATTTTTTTGGGACGGATTTGTTGCTGTTTTCTAATATAGACACCACAAGATTCATGAATCTCTTATTTCTTTTAGGAAATGATGAATATCAGGTCATAGCGTAGTCAAAATTTGAGTCTATCCACTGAAGGATAGATAAAATTGGTGAAATTCTGCGTCTTCCATTCAAAAAGAATCAGCCCATGGAAGCAAATGTATAATTTGCTCCCATATAACAGATTTTCTGAAACGTAAGAAGCAATTAGAATTGTTTTTGCCAATTGAATAGTCCAATTAATCATGGAACTTTTGTTTTGGAACATTCTTTTGACCATGAAACTTGAAGCTGCTAAAAAGCTCTTTGCCTCTTTCAGTAACTTTCCCTAGTCAAAATCCCATCCAATCCACTTTTGTAGTTATTACTAGGAAACATAGCATGGGAACATGGTGGGAAAGATTCCTCTACTGCTGCACCATAATCACGAGTTATTTTGCACTGTGCTCAACTTTCTCCTTTGTTTTTTTGGTCTTGTTCACAACACTTTCTGCAGCCTTCTTATTAGCTCGAAGCAGAGCACGCCTCTTCTGCGGCCTCATCTTTCTTACGGTTCGAGGAGGCATAATGAATTGTTCTATAGGCTTGTCCCCAAAAGGATGCTCACTGTCAGTGAATATTCTCAACTTCCTATCCCGATCCTGCCATCAAGATGATAGTCTAATCACAACACATATTGCCTCCGAGTATGAGCAGTCGTAAAAGCTAATATGAGTTTATGATAAGCAAACCTGATATATTACATATGATCCACTTAGGCATGTAACATGAGAAGGAAATAAGAAATACAAACACGGGAGAGGGGAGCACTCAGTACAATAAAGGTAACATTATAGACCTCTCCAACCTGACAACTGCATTCGTTGAGATCACAATGTCTTTTAATGCTTACAATTTAAAGCAACAATTAATAAAGCATTATATTTGCATGTATGATTAGAAACGGAAAAAAAAAAAAAAATCTAATTCACAACTCAAGAAATAGTGAAATGGGCGTGAAACTAGAAGATATAACTATAAATCAGCAACTTCAGAAGTCAAATGGTCATGTGAGCTAACTAGCATTATGTAGCAATTAGAGGAAAAAAGATATTAGAAATACATCCATATTTTATCTCTTACTGCACTTGTGGCTCATGTGATTATTACAAACACATTGATAAATGGACAACAAGTGGACATATTTTCAGGGCAGGAAGTATTCCAATTGTTCAGTGTTGAAAATTTCGTAAAAAAGACAAGACGTAATCTGCAATCATTTTCCCAGTTCCGCTTGTGAATAGAAGACTACTCAGAGATGAGAATTATAAATGCCAATAATGATTAATGACCTCCAATTCACAAAGCGATTCCAAATCTGAAGAAAACCTCGGAGAAAAAACTGGGAATTCAATCACATGAATTGCAAAAAATGTTCACAATACTTGCCATAAGAGGAGAAGAGATTGTTGTCCTTTAAGCAAGTACACTGCTAACTAATATAGGGCTATAAAGAACAGAAAAGACACCAAAATCCTCCATAAAACCCTAGACTAGCTAAGACACATGGATAGAGGAGATAATGGACCTCTTTAACTAGTCCCCCTTTCCTTCAAAAATTACTGCTATACATGTACAGAATGCCATGGATACATGGTCACTGATAAGTTCTCTATTGAATATAAAACTCAAATTTAATATTGACAGCTTCTAGTAAGCCCATTCCATCCTACCATAAAGTAAGCTATTGGCTTCTGTAACTTACGTAGTGAATTACTGCTGTTGCAACCAAGCTTCTCAGTCTATTCTACCACTAAAACAATGTTTTTGCAGGTGAACATCGATAAAAATTCCTCGCTGAATATAGAGAGCTTTCGGAAAGAAAGGAGTTCGCTCTGTATACCACATTAGGTGGTGATTCATTAGTCCATGACAATGCTTAGGCTTATTACTCAAGAATCGAGTGGTCAAAAGCTTCAAAACCAAAATACGAAAGCACGAATTAAATGCTGCAGGAATGAAATTCTACACAGCTGCAATTGCATTTTCTTTGATAGTCAACCACCATATCTTATAAAGCTGCTTAAAGAATCTGTCTGGATCTAAACTGGAGTAAGGATGGTTGTTTATGGCTTCAATCATAGTTACCAGGATCTCCCAACTTGGTGGCAATCCTGGCAATCCCATGCTCAGGGAGCTAGAGCTTGGATGGATCTCGCTCCAATTTGGGGGAAACACAATCCCAATGACTGTCAATATGAATCACACTCATGTTAGATTAATCTTTTACTACGAAACAAGTCTAAAATATAAATCCATTAACCAAGAAATTATGTTGCAAAAACATGCCCTATATATTTTTTAAAGAGAAAAGATATGCTTTACCCAGATGGAGATATGCTCTAACCATATGGTCTTGAACTTTAGAAATTATCATGCGATGCCATAAAGTTGGAATCCAACTCCCCAACATGTTCGGTTTGAAGTTCCTAAAATTCAGGTGTATGGACAACGATCCCAACCATTGGGAGCTTCTAGCCTATCACGATCCCTTGCTGCCGATCCCAATCCCAACAACTATGGCTTCAATTATTTCCTCTTCCTCCACCACAGCAGTTTGACCATAAATTATCCTCAGGTGTAACCAAGCATCAGACATCATTAATGATACTCGCAACCAGATTTCATATTAAAGCAGCATATGTTGTTGGATGCAAACCTCCCTCTCCAAATATTGAGAATGCTCCTATCTTCCACTGGTTCAAAGATTTTGTAAGAAACTTTATATCTTCAAACTGTAGTGCTAGTGGGATAAAATCCACTTTCCTATCACCATCTTTGATATTCTAAGTTGTCGCCATAAGACTTCTTTCTCTAGTATTCATGTAATTCAATCACAACCTTCTGCACATCTTCTTCTTCCCATCAAATCCAGCCCATTGCAATCTCTGCTTTCACCTCCTTGATTTTCTTAAGAATGCTTCAATGTACCATGGTTACCTTTTAAGAATTACTTTCAAGTCGTTTATATGAAGCCGATGAAATAATGGTGTTCCTTGACGAAACTCCCTCCAAGAATACTCAACCATCGCCACAAGGCATGGAAGGAGAGACATTTCCTTGAATTTGAATGGAGGAACTGCACAGGTACATTGCTTCTTGAAAGACTACAATAAATCAGAGGCCAACTAAACAATTTTGCGTTCAAGAGCATGAAAACAGTAAATTAATTCTCTATATCTCTATTACCAAGTGTCTTCTCCAGTGTCCCACAAATTCTCTTCCCTTCCTAGTTTGCTATTAGCCCATGCATGTGGAAGACCCTTTGTTTGGTAGGCGATATTATAGCCTCGAAGAACAGCAGTAATTCCTCTAAAAAACTCAAAGAAAAATTAGTACATTGTAACTGTAACTGTAACTGGCCCTTGTAAATTGGAGAAATCCCAACTAAGAGGATAGTAGGTTATCCACTCAAACTTTTATTATACAGAGAGATGGGTAGAGTGACCAATTCCAACAGTATACAGCTGATTTATCAGTGAATGCTCGAATTAGCGAGCATAGTGGGAAAAATGGGTATAGTTGTTAGATGTTCTTTTGTATGGCTTTGTCTATGTCAATTACATAAATCTATTATCATGGTCCAGTTAAGAGGTAATTACAGAGTTCTGTCACTTTCTACTTTTGTTTGGATTTTCAAAGATTGTATCATTGAGACCAGTGGAAAGTAGCATTGCTTGCTGACACCGATTCAGACCAATATTTATCATACTGTAATCAAAGGGAATGAATTTCAAAGAAATTCCTCCTAGTTTATATATGCTCTTGGAGACTAGGTTATCAACATTTAACAACATGGATAGCATGAAAACAGCCTGATTCTTCCAAATGAATTACAATTTTCATATGATAGATCCACATAATCAAAGCGGAAAAGTTTGCGATTGCGTATACATATCTAGTAGCATTGGGGGTGCATATCCATGTAAGTGTCACTAATATCAACAGCAAGAATGGAACCTAGGATGGATAATAAGCAAGAGTTGATATGCTAGAACCCAAGATATCATCACCACCATTTATAAACAGCAAGAGCCCACCAGCTTTACAACAAATAGATGATATGGAGGGCTAAAATCTGCAATACCATCTAAACTTTGTTCAAGAAGAGTAAGAGGCGCAGCAAAGCTTAGTATATAAGGAGCAGTTGAATGAGCACATTGTTCACTAACAATACCAAAAGATAGTGGCACTAAATATATAGGAGACTAGTTCCTCTAATGGTGAAGCAGGTGATCTAAAAGAGTCCTGGAGCACCAGTTTCAAGCCAAGATGAATACAAGAATGAAAGATAATGATCATGCCATAGCAAGAGTATTTAAAAAAAAAATTTCTGTAATTTTACAGAAGGGAAATTTTTCACTGATATAGATTTTCTTCTTCAATCAAAGACGAATCTCAGGCCAATCTTGGAATGTATGAAAAAATGAAAGCTTTAGCAGCAACATTCAATATGGAGATTTCAGTCATTAAGCATTCCGAATGAATTAATCTGGAGAAAAATAAATGTAAAAAACCAACATGAAAAATAAACGTAAAAAATCAACATGTATGCCAGCCAAAAAGGTGAAATTGTAGCAATGAGCAATATCATAAACTAGAAAAACCACCTACATCTCGTAATCTGTTTCGCGGAAGCATGCGAAGGACAGCTTTACGTATGACTTCAGTGGGGTCCTTTGCAAGTTGGTCTCTTAAGCTCCGTTCTTTAAGATGACCAACATAGCTATCAGCATAAGTTATTTCTGAAGTCAACATGGTATGCTCCTGAATATAAAGAATAAGCAAGAAGTTTCAACAAAATAATTAATTGCTACTTACCCAGTATGCCATCGATAAAGTTTGTTGGTTAATTTTTGGCCTGTTACACAGATATCTTTGGCATTAAGGACAATGCACATATCCCCAACTTCACGATGAGGAGTATATGTTGGTTTATCCTTGCCTTGAAGGACAGTAGAAATTTGAGATGCTAGCCTCCCGAGTACCTGCATCGATTGTGAATTACTGAAAAGGAATAGCAATAACACATTCAAGTAAATTAACAACCATATGTTCATATAGAATAGAATGCTTGAACCTGTCCTTTTGCATCAAAAACTCTCCATCGCAAACCTTCCAGGTCAATTCTCCTCAACCCCACCATGGCTTTCTGCAAAGTGCAGCAAGTACAATAAAAACTGAAAGAGTAATATGTCATGAACAACTCCATGTACCAAACAAGCTTAGGAGGCTCGATTCAGATAAATATATTTAACCAATGTTCTGCAACTATGGCAGTTCAAAAGGTATTTGGCCAATGGCATTTTATTAGATCCAACATAACTTGAAGAATAAATTCCATTAGACCCAATTTTTTTACGATGCCTAAGTTTCAACTACAACGATGAAACAAATTTCCCAGTCAGTGGATCAATTTCCCAAGTCAGCTTGAACTGAATATAAATCCATCAAGCAGTCACTATCATATTAGAAGATGTACAAACTCTTCATGCATGATTTAGGTGACAAATTGTAGCCAAAAATTACATCTCACAATCTATGGCATTTAAAATGATTGACAATATTACAAATGCAGTAACTGAAATACGTGCAACAACTTCAACAAGTAAGAATGTGAATGCATGTAGGACATGTTTGCATTACTGTTTCATGCAAACACCATGACCAGGATAATAATATTAGTGGGTACTCTTTCTATCACAAGTCAGATCCATTGATCAAATTTACATAATGTTGAACAGATGTAGTTATCCTTCAAGATCACAATCTTACAAATTTCAATAAGAAATATGCTAGTATCAACCATAGTTTGCAAGTTGGCGAATAACAGTATATCCGATAAACCAAAATATCGGCAATAAATTAATTTTGTTCCCAAAGGTCGGAGCCAAAAAATCAGGTCAAAAATATGGATCGCCAAAAATTAGGTAAGTTAAAGTATCGTAAATATCACAGATTTGACTCAAAAAGACGGAGTGAAAAAATCGAATATATTCAGATGCACAGGACTACAAGATAAGATTATAATTTGCTGTTATTCTTTGGATATATTAAACGCTAGTGAACAATAATTATATCTCCTTACCTAGTATCATTAGGATAATAGTTGACAATTTTTAGTCTAAATTTTCAATAAATACAACAATGCTTACTCTATTGTCATGATACTAAACATGCGACTTATTGGGAGCACATTATGAAATAAGAATACTAAACACAAGAACGACAATAGCAAATAACAAGAATTGTAACCCAACGTATAGGAATATTGTCAGAAGAGAAAAACAAAAGACCCTCAGTATAAGATTCTAGTTAGCTAAAATACAAAAACCTAAAACTGTAAAATCATAGTTGTCGGAAGCAGCAGCGGGTTCGAAAGCGGGATAAGTTCAGGGAACACCAAACCGCCATACGGTGGAAGCTCCCAAGGGTTATGATGGCATCTGTCACTCAACAAGTCAAGAATCTAGATCCTAGGATACCTTGGAGCAACATCCCATGCCACTAGGATTGAGATTTTGACTTGGAGGGATCTAAGCTCCACTATATATAAAACGAGATAAATTAATAGAATATGATAAATAGGATCTAGACAATACCCAACTCGCTCCATTATCATACTCCTTAGCTTATAACTAATGACATAGTTATAGTACTCTAATTTACTACAACAACAAAGTTTAATAATGTCATGAATTGGCTTACTATGATATTAAGTTGTAGTTTTTTAATACTATAGTTCTAATATACCATGATGTAATATGCACCACAATTTAACATAATCTAAAGAACTAAATCTATAATATCAAGGAGAGGACCACTAATTCAATCAATAGTGTAACTCCTCTTCTCGGAGGGATCCTACAAGCATGTAGAACGAGATCCCATTTTATAGGGAGCGAGATCCCTATTTCTCTAAACTCAACACCCTCTAACACCCCTTATAGGAATCGAGGGATCAAGTTACTACTGTGGGAGTGTGGCCTTACCCCCAAGCTTTCTGCAACTGTGTAAAATAGTGGTTCGTCCGAAATGCTTTGTTTTACACCAATGAAATAACAACAAAGTTTGAGAAGGTGAAATTAATCTAACTTCTGTATGTAGAAAAAAAGCAACAAAATGCACAAGTAAATCTAAATATTCAAATTGTTGGGGTAATGTGGACATTTAAAGGCCTTACGAGAGCATGTATTGAAAATCTTCACATCATGACATGATGGCCCTAGTGGAAGCATGGTCCGAATAGACTGTGGCATTGTTAATGTCGTGACTCACCTGAGTTTCGATGGCTAGGCTGGGGTTGATGTCTAAAACCCCTAGCCTTGGGCAACCGATAAGGGTTTGTAGGATCATCCCTTGATAAGGTTAGAGAGATGCCCAAGGTGGTTGGCCCGACGACTGAGTGTAACCCCTGTGTGCGATGTTTGGCCAAAGAGGACAAGAGCCAAAATCCGCATCATTGTCATCGCGTAGCATGTGCACTAGGCAGCCGTCCAGGAAGCAGCCCTTTAGGAGGTGTCACGTGCGTATGCCGAAGACATGTCTCCCTACAACATTGGATTGTGTTAGAAGGTCTTATGAGATAGTGTGCTAAATGGGACCTGAACTTGTCCTCGGGGAGAAACCTGAAATCTATGGACTAGGATCGTACAATCTTCAATTATTGGTTGGCTTTGATGGACCAATCATGAACCCCTGCGATGGGGGGCTTTGTTGGGTCAGTTTAAAAAGATGACAGTAGTGCACGATTTCTAGAATAAGATGGAGTGCCTCAATATATTTGTGTTGTCATTGACCCTTTGGATTCAATTCCCATCAAATTTATTTTAATATGTTTAAATATGTTTTATTTGAATTTTAGAATATTAAAATGAATTTTTAGAACCCTCCGAGTATTTTATTTTTGCTAAAACAATCTTTTATGTAGATAAATTGAATTTTCTGAATTTAATTCATTAAGAGAGAAAAGAAAAATACTTATCGATCTCTAAAAATCATTTTATTAATTTCTAAAATTACTAGATAGTGTGGGGCCCATATTTGGTTGGGACCCACCACAAGAAGCCCATTTACGTGGTGGTGTGGGGCCCACATGGGTGGCATGCCTCACTTCCTTTATGTTTCTCTCTTTCTCTCTCATAAAGAAACTTGCGGGGTAAGTTTCCTATGGATAAGAGAGAAGGGTGATTGATTTCATTTTTTTTGGAAGGTCTTTTAATTGATTGAAATAAATATTATGTATTGCTTTATTTTACATAATTAAATATTTGATGGGAATAGGGTTAATGAAACTAAGGGATAATGGTTCTAGCACATTCCTCTTAATCATGATGGTTGATCTAGGAAATATAATGCCAAGATCTATTCACCCCACAGGTATCCAAGATCTATGGTCAAGATTGAGTCTTCATAATGAATTCAAACCTTAAAACCCCAAAACTCTAGTTTTGTACTATAAATACCACCTCATGGAAATGGATTCCACAAACTAGGGTATTGACCTCTCTTCTCTTCTCTTCTCTCCCTCTCTCTCTCAAAGCTAGCACGCCCCATTGTCTCTTATTTCTTCTCTCTAATCTCTCTCTCTCTCTCTAGGGTTGTGAATAAAATAAAGAGGAGCCCATGCCCAATCCATAAAGGGTGGCACGTCCTAGCCGAAGCCTAGGTTATGAAGAAAGGCCCTATCCTATGTTATCTCATGCTCTCATATTTTGAGAAGGGTTTTGCCTAGGCTTCCCTTACTGTGAGACAAGGTTAAAAGGCCACGGTCCGATGCGCCATCCGTTGGAAGAGACCCAATGTGGGGTGTTGGAAGTCTTTGAGGGTAACCTTTGGCAAGGTATTTGGTATTCTAATGACTCATGTTTCTTGATCCAATTTCATGCATTGTGCTTTGTTTGATTGTAAGAATTGTAATGGCATGCAAGTGAAGATCCTAGATTGTATTAGGTTTATTTTTATGAATTAAAGTTGTAATCAAGTGTAGCTCCATGTTTCTTGATTCAATTTCATGCATTGTGCTTTGTGTGATTATAAGAATTGTAATGGCATGCAAGTGAAGATCCTAGATTGTATTATAGTTAAAAAACTCAAAACAAAGATCCTAGATTGTATGAGGTTTATTTTTATGAAATTAAAATTGTAATCTGCACACCTATAAGTGTTTTAGCCAATATGAATAAAAAAAAAAACTTTAATTGTTTATACTTGGCTACATCACATTGTCCACCTTTCACAAATCTCACGCTGAATTCCAAGCTGCCTAAATTATTAGTTGTCACTAATCTCTCTTGTTCTTTATAGTGATGCTCTAGGTCTAGAAAAAAGGTAACTTTTTCCTCAAGTTACTCTTCCTCGAAATCTATCACTATTTTTATGATATACAACAGATAGATTATTTTTTGGTGGAATATGGGGCTTGTGCTATTTTGTTTTAATACACTTTCTTTAAGAAACTTCCATCAAAAAATTTTGTTAAATCAAAATTCTTAATATAGTCACACTTCTAACATGTTCATGTCAAAACCAAAATTTACGAAGACATTAAATCAATAAGAGATCAAAAGTTTTGATAAAGCTATACAAAAGAAGACTTGTTGAAAAGTTGTTTTTTTTTTTAAATATAAAATATGGATTTATATCGGTTCCATTGAAAAAACTTTGCAGATCTTTTGAAAAACTTATTCTTAACGAATCTCAAAAAAACAGAGAATTCTTGAAACAAATCATGTTTTAATCGGAGACCTGCTAACTAAGGTACCAACGAATGTTTCCTGTGAGCAGACAAAATCTTCTTCAGAAGTCACGAACAATATTCTTCATCTAAATATTATTGAACATTTGCACTTCAAAACTTTCTTACATAACGGGATATCTTGCCTTATGTTCGCATAAGATGCAGTTAAAAAGCCCAACAAATCAACATTTTAAAGGCACACCAATGGATCAACACAAACATGCTAGAGATGTTGGAATATGAGTCATGCGGCAATTAACACTAATTATCATAACAGTTAGGGAAGAAAACGAACTCATTAAACTGGTCTGAAGAATCTCGAGCAAGGCCAGTAAAACAGAGCTAAAATACAATTAATTCAAATAACGTATCCTTAATTTCACATTAAAAATACTTTGTTTTTCACTTTTGACGCTTGACTTTAAAAAACTAGTTCACTTTGAAACAAATAAAATAGTATTACTACCAAATAAAATATGCAGGACTTCCTTTTCTTTCTTTTCCTACTCAACATGTCTTTTGCTCGGAGTGAATTAGTAGCCACCACAAGCACATAAAACAAAGGTATGCAAATTTCCAACAGATTTCTCCACATACTTTGAAAACAGATATTCATGGAGCATTACGGCAGAAGAAACTTGCCTTCAAATTCCCACTAAAAGATCGAGTGGCAGTCGTCATTCTTCTCCGTTTGGTAAGTTGCACAGATTAATATTAGATTTGTAAAGATTTCCTCCAATGCTCAAGACAGTAGAGATCACTGACTTGATGATTACTTAGAACTATATCACAAAGCCATGGGGTGTAAGCATCCAACAGGATAATAGTGTCACAAATACCAACTTTATAGCAAACCTTATAAATACAACATTGTCTATACAACATTTGGAGAAAGCGGGAAAATGGGACTTAAAAAACATTAAGTCCTTTCATGTGAAATTTCAACAATTGAAGAACAGAAGGCGATAAAGGTCACCAACTCAGTGATTAAATGAAGCATGTGCTACAAGGACAAAAATATGTGTGTAAGCAATAATACAAACAAGAGTATAAAAAATGCCAACTCCAAAATTAGCCTTTTAGTTGTGGCATGCATATATATTTGGAGATGGCAGGAAAGGCGAATTTTAAAGAAACATCATGCACATTCCAAGTGGCATTCCAACAATTAAAGTTAGAAGAGTCTAAAAGTTTCTAAGGTGTTTGACACATGTCTCGTGTCGTAAGTATGTCGATATGTGCCAAAAACCATGAACGCATGTGGGTAAGTTACATATCATAAAGCAAATAAGACAAGGGCCTAGTTAATTCAAGGTACAAATGTGTTGTCCACTAAGCAAAAACCACTAAGAAGCAATTAATTCATCCAAAACAAAATATTATAAGAAGTATTTATACAAGAGCCATGTAGGTAGTAATTGATGCAATTATACCTATTCATTGAAAATAACAGCATTATCAGACAGCCTGGCCACTGAACTGGTCAATGCTCTAGTACAGTCAAAACTAGTTTCACTGCAGTCAACTCGGTAGGGCCAGGTTTATAAAAGAAAGAAACAAAAGAGAACAACCCTAGGTTGCAGCATGTCCGATCGTTTACTTCACGCGATGTCACCGTAGTTGTAAGACAACCAAACCTCAACTGCACCGCTGAAAAATGGAGCCTCGAATCTCTGCTCTGTTAGGGAGGGCCCTCTTTTCTTCATACCAAAGCATACAATATCCTGGAGCGAACACTAACTTTGGAAATGGAAGGGCCGGGCCATCGCTAGGACGGCTCCATAGCCTCTGTCTTGCGAGCAAGAACGGGAAGCATCTAGGTACGAATGTACACTTCGGTGAGATCCAAGCTCAGTTTGGGGACCAGGCACAGGCACCTCGTAGTTTTAGTGGGCTTGTCCTCATCCATCTTTAAGGCCACCATTCGTAGCTTTGCTTGCTCCTCATCCATCTTTAAGGAGTAGAGGGCTTGACTTGGGTCCTTTTTATCTCTTGCATAACAAAGGGGGCAATTTCGACATATCCATTGGAATCCCTAGCCGTCAGAACCAATCCTCTTCTTCCTCATTTCAAGTTGGGAAGGCGCTTCATTGCTGACTCAATTTTTGATTGTCAGTTTCTCAATTCCGAGTTGGCTCACTGAACTTCAATAATAATAATTCAAAAATATGGAATCTAATACAAGAGAAAATTGCCCAACCTTAATTTGCAAGTCCAACGTTAAAACTAACTAATCTGATCAGTCAAAACTGGTCAAACATTGACTCCCAATTTTTTATTTGGACCAGACTGGCCAAGCCACCTGTCATCGGTTTGATTAGTTGGAACAGCCGGTTTGTCAGAACTTGATAACACAAGAAATAATCAACACACTCATAGACATGAACCGAAAAAGATAATCTCAAAATTCAGTAGATATAAATGTTTGGAGATAAAAGTAGTTGCATGGGTAAACAATTGAATTAGGTGCTGACACAAGCCAGCGTGCTGAGATAAAAACATAACCAATCATTGATAAAGGGTGTGGAACTCAATAACTGTAACCCTGACATCCCATGCATAATATCGATACCCTTATCCTCTAATCAAGTCAAGAACCCTATATTTCTTTCCAAGTAAATATGTGATGGTTGCTTTAAGTTTTTCATAGCATGTACACAAGAGTGGCTCCCTTTTAAACAATTCTGATATCAGTGTACTATTTGCAGTTGGGTTAGTCCATCATTCATCCTCCTAGATCACATAATGAGCACAAAATAACGAAAAAAATATATAAAGCACAGAAAAAACATATGTAGCATGCTATATAGGCTAGAGCCATATACGTTTACAATAAGGCAGATCAACATGATTAAAAGCATATGATTTTATCGTATGACTAAGAGAGTGAGGGGCTGTGACATTAAATTACAAGATGGGTGCTACAAATATAACTTGTACACAGAGGACGACCATTTTTATTGGAAAAATACAGCCGGCTCAAGTGCTTACTCAATAAACTGAGAGAAAAAGATCTTAACTTATCCAAGGTTTGCATACTGAAGTTTAAACTACAATTGAGGAAAAACACAAGGATACAAGTATTGAAATCAAAGTGGAAATCACTGACCTTGCGATGATCATGAATCCCATGAATATATTTTTTATAAGATGAATCTATTCCCCATTCTTTAGAAAATGATCACAAAACCAAAACAATTTATGAAGAAGATCCCAAAGGTTGCAGAAAACACTAAAGCCATAAACAATGCCAATGGTCCCAAGCTACTCTTGGTAACACCCCATATTCATTAACTATCGACCACAATCAGTTCCCTCCTTAGATGCATGAATAAAATCATAATACTTTGATAAATAATCAATCAACAAATCCAATTCTTCAAAAACATCATCAAAGCAAAAGAATGGAGTGGTTTGCATTGGAGCAAATGATCAATTTTTTTTTATTCTACGAATGTTGACTGGATGAACTCCCAATCTTAT